TCCCACCAGTGCCGAAATACAGCCACATCAAACTGCTACGAGTGTGATATAGCATTTATACAACAGTTCGACGACATAATCGTGCATATAAAAAAGAAAATCAAATACGGAGAAATTCAATTTGTAAGAGGAACTACTATATTCAGCCTTTCATTCACATATTGCGCTGACTGTCAGAACAGCCGAAGCCGTTTCTCATTCACTAACATCACTTTAGAGCTAGTGTTTGAATGATTCTTTAGCGTAATTTCTAAAGTTATGACAAAACAGGTGATTTTGCTCACATTTTAAGAATATAACCCTGAACGGCATGAAACATCATCAGTCTACAGAGGCTTCTCAGTATTTCTCTGTTGCATTAGGGAGATCACAATATTACTAGGGTATAAATATGGTTGCTGTTTGTGGTCGAAGTAATACACAAGGGTGATGGTTTAAGAGGCTGGACATGTGCTGTTATTTGCAAAATATTGCACAGCCATCAGCCAATCAGATTCAAGAACAAGACAGAACTGCTGTGTAAATAAATATATATATATATATATATATATATATATATATATATATATATATATATATATATATATATATATATATATATATATATATATATATATATTTACATATATATAAGTGAGTGTGTGTGTGTGTGTGTGTATATATATATATACACACACACACTCACACACACACACACACACACACAAACACACACACACACACACACATACATACACGTATGGTGTTACATGTGTTAATAATTTTAACATATTTAATGTACATTTTATTTTTACTCAAAATTATTTCCATAAAGTGTTCTTATGATTTAAGAATTGAATGTGTACAAAACAAAATTGAAACTTACGAATAAGGAAAAAACAAACAATGAGTTGTTGAATTATTTAAAAAATTATTGACACCTGAGGTCAGTTGTGCGTTTATCTGATTATAACTACCCACTTCAGAATTTCCATCAGCCAATCAGAATCAAGTATGCAACAACCCCTTAGTATAAATAAAAATATACTGCTATGTGTTTTGAACGCTAATGTAAAGCTTCTGCACAAAGATGGCATTAAATAAAATACAAATAAGAAAAGAGTGACCTGTAAATTATACAAATTATTTTGTTTTCCTGTCAGCTAAAATCTGCATTACACATAAATTAATAATGACTAAAATAAGCTATATTTCACAGAATGTTCAAACAGCTAAAAATCTATTAAATTGGCTGTAATAAAGTAGCTTTAAGAACAAATTCACTCACAATAAAAAAATGATTTAATGGGGGAAGGAAGTACAAGAGGATCTGTTATGAATTCTATGTAGTTCGCCAAAAATAATTTCACCCACAGCTCCTAAAAGAGAAACACTGAGACGCAGAGAAAACCTGGACTTTAGCTGCTATTACAGATATGAATGAATCGCACAAACGTGAGAATAACGTCTCAGAGAAAAGGCTGAGTTTACCCAGAAGTCTGAATAAAATTTCATTCCACTTCAGTCAAACACACACATATGCTCTCAGTCTGAGCCGTATCCATGCTAAACAGCAATTATTACTTCACTCAAACATTGTTTACCTCAGCCTAGCCACTGCGAGTCTCAGCGATAACGCTAATGCTGTTTACGTGACTTCAACTGTGTATGCAAAGTTACAACTTGAGTCCTTACACAACAAAGACGGTAACTATAACACTAACTAAAAAGAAATTGGAGGTTTACATGAAAGTTTTGTGTGCAGGTGACGTTTAAAAAATGACCTTCATTAAATTGACTAAAAATGCTGTAATATGTATGCCCGACCTGTAGGCGGTGATGTTGTTACCTGTGATTCACTATTGTCACTTTTATTGCCAAGTACTCACGTTTGACACGCATATTACATATAAACATGACATCAACACCACATTTGCGCAGCTTGCCTTGTACAGAGACTAAAGTAATTTTTTTATTTATTTACATTTATAAGTCAGCACGAACTGGAATTTGCAGCAGACTTTTAGTTTGATGATGCGCGTCCGACTGAAACGGAATATTCAGTAGAGGGCGGGGGTTAAATTTTGTTATCAGAGAAGGTCTGTCTTTTTAAAGTGAAAGCAAATGGTCAGGATTTGATTAAAGTTTACTAAAGCTTACTAAAGACTTTTAAGACTAATAATGTGTACTAACAAATTACCCACTATTCATTTTGATTTCATGCGGACTTGCACTTCAGTTTTTTGCATTGTCAAGGCCCCAAAAGACCACCTTCCTGTAAATGTACCCTTTTGATTTGCACTGATTTACATTAGTTGGACTGTCAATTTTTAGATGACAAAATGGATTAAATCTTGATAGTTTGTTAGTTGTGGCTAGCATTACATTTGCTCATGTTCAGCTGATACAACGTGATTAACCCTATTAAATATAACAGTGAACTCACATTTTATAACAAAATAAATGTTTTTAAATCTTCTTTATTAGACTAAAAAAACATTAAATGAATTTTGAACTTGAATTTTGCTGTTGTTGATACTGTATTTAGCAGATTTCGGCAGTACGATCTCATTCAGTGTCTAGATGTCCTGGCTGGTGTAGATTTGAATCCAAAATTAATAAAACTAATAATCAAAAACCTTTAATCCACTTTTAATCCACACTTAGTTTTTTCCTTTTCATCATCAGTGTGGATAAAAAACTGTATGAATATGATTGTCAAAAGATAAAGCTGTGCAAATGTCTTTTTTTAGACCACTAACACTTTTATATATATATATATATATATATATATATATATATATATATATATATATATATATATATATATATATATATATATATATATATATATATATGAGCCTGATTTCATGGACAAAGCTTACAATTTTGGTATTAGTGGTGCGGAAGAATTTCGACATGTGAGTTGGTGCTAATTGCCTTACATAAGTTGTGACTGGTGTTTGCTTAAAATGCTTAAAGATGTTTAAAATACATTATTTTATGGAAAAATAATCATTAAAAAAAGAAAAAATACTAGTTTGCGTTGATGAAAAATACTAGTAATGTGCTGAAAGTATTATAATTTTGTAGTTAATTGTAATAATAGTTATTATAATTATCAATTAAGCAAATAGTTACTGTCTGATGCGTAAAATATGCAGAGCCTTTCCACACATAATAAACATGAAAATGTGCATGAATAAAGTAAAACGATCACATTTTTTCACGAAACTAAGCATTTGCACAATTACAACTAATGTATCAATTTTATATATATATATATATATATATATATATATATATATATATATATATATATATATATATATATATATATATATATATATATATATACATACACATACATACATACATACATACATACATACATACATACATACATACATACATACAGATAAAGTCTTAATTATTAGCCCCCCTTTGATTTTTTTTTTTTCTTTTTAAAATTATTTTTATTAGAGCAAGGAAATTTTCACAGTAGGTCTAATAATATCTTTTTTCTGGAGAAAGTCTTTTGTTTTATTTTCGGCTTTTGTTTTTTGTTTTTTAATTTTAAGGTCAAAATTATTAGCCCCTTTAAGCTAGTTTTTTTTTTCAATAGTCTGCAGAACAAACCATTATATCACACAATAACTTGCCTAATTCCCCTAACCTGCCTAGTTAACCTAATTAACCCAGTAAAGCCTTTAAATGTCACTTTAAGCTGTATACAAGTGTCTTAAAAAACATGTAGTAAAACATTAATTTCTGTCATCATGGCAAAGATAAAATAAACCAGTTATTAGAAATGAGTTTTAAAACTATTATGTTTAGAAAAGTGTTGAAAATATCTTCTCTCCGTTAAACAGAAATTGGGGTATTTTCGGGAGCTAAAAGTTCACACAAAATGCATACAAACATTTTCTGAAGAAAGGCAAGGAGGGAATATTATCTGAAAGAAGAAAAAAATCTTAGGAGGTTGAAAACAAGGACAACTTTAAAAAGTTTGTGTATGTCTGTATGCATGTGGTGTGAAATTATGGAACAGTCTAGAACAGATTCTCAAACAATGTCAGGATATTAATCAATTTAAAAAGTTGTATAAGAATACATTATTAAAGGAAAAAAATGATTAATAGATGTGATTGTAATAATACAAATAAATGTATACAATGTATAAATAATACATTATTAAAGGAATATGTTGATGAATAGAGGTGATTGTAAAAAAAAAGAACTAAATAAAAAGGGTATGATGAAATTTCAGTTAATTAAGTAAACTAAGTAAAGTATGTTTTGGGTCTGTGTTATAAGAAGGAAATGCACCAATGGTGAATTAACCATTAAATATGTAAAAGATGTCAAAAGGATGAAATATGTCTCATTTAAAAAGAAGAGATAAGTAATAGAAGAAATAAGTTGAAGAAATAGATTAATGATGTGTGGTAATGGTGTTAATTAAACAATAATAAGATAGCACTTTATCCTGCTCCATTTCGAACATGATGAAACGTATTTTGCTTAAAGAATTTAACTGTATTTTTTTGGTGTTCGAAATAAATAAATAAAATTTAAAAACAAAAATCAAATATATATTATGCAATGACACTTGTTTTCTTAGAAATAAATAAGTCAATTACGTTTTTGACGGATACTTTGTTAAAAATTTTATTATATATATATATATAAAAAAAAAATATATATATATATATATATATATATATATATATATATTTATATATATATATATATACATATATATATATAATTATTTTTTAAATATAATACAATTTTTTATGTATCCTTCAATACTATATTGTATTGAATAAATATATATATTCAATATATATTTCAATATTCAATATTTCAGAGGGTTAATTTACACTGGTAAATCTATAAACGGAATTGAACATTCTCATAACTTTCATGCAGTGCTATATTTCAATAAAACTGAAAAAAGTAATGGAGTTAAACCCAGACTGTGTGCGAGTGAGTGAGTGTGAGAGAGACACTCTTACCTGCAGTGAGTTGAGAAGACTAAAGACGTAAGCGATGACCACGGAGAACGGCACCAGCACACCGCAAAGCCACGTCAGGCCCAGGATCGGCAACAGAACCAGCACAGCTTTCACAGCCGCCCTGAAACACACAAAACACACACATAATCAGATCTGATACGACGGAATTAGCTGATTTCAATCATGCATACTTGTACACACAAACTCTCTCCGTAGCTTTTTACACTGCTAAAAGAGAGATTCCGGGGGTCATTCCCAGCACAACGGGAGCTGCTGCTTATTCTCACATTGTGACAATTTCCACGCTAAATGGCTTTTAATTCTGTTTAGTGTAAAATTACCTCGCTAGTCAGGTAACCGCTAAAGCGAACCAGCTGCGGTGCGGACTGGCCCTGCCAAGCAGAGGAAACGTGTGTTTGATTTTCCTTGGGTTTGACCAGCGGCTTTCAAGCATCACATTGATATTTCTGCACACACGGAGGCCTCAGCGACTGCTGCCGGAGGTCGAAACGCTGGGGACGGGTGGCAGCTTAATTTGCGTTGTGGTTATTTACGGTCTCAAGGAGACGCCGAATCTATAAACTAACAGGGGGATCTGTATAAACGGCTGCTTTTAAAAATATATAACGGCGGATTGCTGTTTTATAGTTTAAGATTTATGTTAAAAAAACCCAACCTGTCAATTTTGAGATTTTAGAAACACTTATTATTAAAATGCTTATTGTAAACATCCAAATTAGCCTTTTAGGTGTATTTTGTTGCTCCTAATCGATTTGTGTTTGTTGATTTTGAGTACAGTGTTTATTTTTAATGTTTAGTTTTCTCAAAACAATCATGTTTTTAATCCTGTGATAAAATCAGTAACATTATTACTTAGTATCATACATAATTTGCCTGATAACATATTGTACAAAATAACTTGTGAATTTTTTTTCTCTCATTCTATTTTATGAATTATGGAGTGATTAAAAAATAGATTTCCCAAATCTACTCTGTAAAAACCTTTCATTCAAATATGTAAAAAAAAATTCAATGATCAGGTTTCTGTGCTAGAATTGCATGCAAATGAGCACATATTTAATTAATTGATGCCTAATTTGCATATTTAAACATAACATTAATAAAAACGCGTACTAAAATAATTCTGAATATATTTAATCAACTGAGAAAAAACTAATATTATTATTATTTTCCTGTTCACCTGTAGTTTCTTACCTTAAAGTAGCAAAAAAACAATACATTTGATGTTGAAATAAGCGTTAATGTGCAAATAGATCATTTTAATAAAAAAACAGAATGAGTGAGGATCAATCTGACTCAGGAACAGCTGAACTTAGCTGTGAAAGGGTGCCTCCATGTGGCGAAGCGTTAGACAAAAAAAGTAGTCTAATGGAGCGCTGAGGAATGATCTAATGAGGGTAACGTGTGTTAATATGAAAGAAAGAGAGCCGTCTTGCCTGATCTGCTCAGAGATTTGCTCTTCAGGACTGTTATTGAGGGCCATCATTAAAGATCTCCTCTTGGCGGTGGCGATGGTGATCACCACTACACGGGTCAGAATCATGATGTTCACCTGAAATGCACAGAAGCAAATAATAAAATAATTAACACATAAATACAGGTGAAGTCAAAATTATTAGCCCTACTGTGATTTTTTCTTTAAGTATTTCCCAAATGGTGTTTAACAGAGAAAGGGATTTTTCACAGTATGTGCAATAATATTTTTCTTCTGGAGAAAGTTTTATTTGTTCTATTTCGGATACAATAAAAGCAGTTTTTAATTTTTTTAATCCATTTTAAGGTCAATATTACTAGCCCTCTTAACCTCCTTAACTCTGCGAATCTGGTACCATTTACATTTACATTTTACATTTAGTCATTTAGCAGACGCTTTTATCCAAAGCGACTTACAAATGAGGACAAGGAAGCAATTTACACCACTAAGAGCAACAATGAATAAGTACTAAAGGCAAGTTTCAGGTCTGTAAAGTCTAAGAAGGGAAGTGTTAGTAATTTTTTTTTTTTTTTTTTTTTTTTTTTTTTTTTTTTTGGACAGTTAGTGTGATATTCAAATAGGCAATTGCAGATTAGGAAGTGAAGTGGAGACTAAATAGTTGAGTTTTTAGTCGTTTCTTGAAAATAGCGAGTGACTCTGCTGTTCTGATGCAGTTAGGGAGTTCATTCCACCAACTGGGCAGATTGAGCGTGAGCGTTCGCGAAAGTGATTTTTTTCCTCTTTGGGATGGAACCACGAGGCGACGTTCATTCACAGAACGCAAGTTTCTGGAGGGCACATAGATCTGCAGAAGTGAGTGCAGATAAGAAGGTGCTAGGCCAGAAGTCACTTTGTAGGCAAACATCAGAGTTTTGAATTTGATGCGAGCAGCAACTGGCAGCCAGTGCAAACGGACTAGCAGCGGAGTGACATGTGCTCGTTTAGGTTCATTGAAGACAACCCGTGCTGCTGCATTCTGGAGCAGTTGAAGAGGCTTGATAGAGTTAGCTGGAAGCCCAGCTAGTAGAGAGTTGCAGTAATCCAGTTTGGAGAGAACAAGAGCTTGAACAAGGAGTTGAGCTGCATGTTCAGATAAGAAGGGTCGGATCTTTCTGATGTTATAGAGTGCAAATCTGCACGATCGAGCAGTTCTAGAAATGTGGTCAGAGAAGTTTAGTTGGTCATCAATCGTTACTCCAAGGCTTTTCACCATTTTGGATGCAGTAATGGTTGCCCCATCCATCTGGATTGAAAAGTTATGGTGTAGAGTCGGGTTGGCAGAAACTACAAGCATTTCCGTTTTTGCGAGGTTCAGCTGAAGATGATGATCTTTCATCCAGTGTGAAATATCCAACAGGCAGGCTGAGATACGAGCTGGAACCGAGGGATCATCAGGATGAAAAGAGAGGTATAGCTGGGTATCATCAGCATAGCAGTGGTAGGAGAATCCATGTCTCTGGATGACTGGTCCTAGAGATGATGTGTAGATGGAGAAGAGAAGTGGCCCAAGAACAGAGCCTTGAGGTACCCCAGTGTTTAGATGCTGTAGGTTGGACACCTCTCCCCTCCAAGACACCCTGAATGACCTGTCAGAGAGGTAAGATCTGAACCATTGTATAACAGTGCCCGCAACGCCCAGTGACTCAAGCGTAGATAGCAGGATCTGGTGGTTGACAGTGTCAAAAGCAGCTGACAAGTCCAGCAAAATGAGGACTGATGCTTTAGAGTCTGCTTTAGCCAGTCTGAGATCCTCCACGACCGAGAGCAGGGCAGTCTCAGTTGAGTGGCCTTTCTTAAAGCCGGATTGCTTGTTGTCCATGAGATTGTTTTGAGTAAGAAAGTCCAGGACTTGATTGAACACTACTTTCTCCAGAATCTTGGCCATGAATGGAAGCAGGGATACTGGTCTGTAGTTTTCAAGTAGCGTATGGTCCAGGTTGGGTTTCTTTAGCAGTGGGGTTACCCTAGCCTGCTTAAATGTAGTGGGGAATAAACCAGAGTCAAGAGATGTGTTAATTATGTGAGTCAGTGTTGGTATGACTGCAGGAGAGATGGCTTGCAAGAGATGAGAGGGAATGGGATCGAGTGGACAGGTGGTTGCATGGCTAGATAGCACAAGTTTGGACACCTCAGACTCAGAGAGCTGAGAAAAAGAGGTGAGTGTGTGTGGTGTTGGTGTTGTATCTTGCGTGTTTGTTGTAGGTGCAGCAAATTGAGCACTGATTTTTGCAGTTTTGGTGCAGAAGAATGTAGCAAAGTCATCAGTAGTAAGTGTGGAGGATGCGGGTGGAGGAGGAGGATAGAGGAGGGAGGAAAATGTTTTAAAAAGTAGGCGAGGATTAGTGGCATTGTTGATTTTCAGACGGTAATACGTCTGCTTTGCAGAAGTAACCTCAGCTGAGAAAGAGGACAGAAGAGTTTGGTATGTTAAGAGGTGTGCAGGATTTTTAGTTTTCCGCCAAATTCTCTCTGCAGCCCGAAGTTTTGAGCGATGCTCACGGAGAGCATCCGAGAGCCAGGGTGCAGGAGGACTGGCACGGGCTGGCCTGGATGCAAGAGGACATAATCGGTCTAGACATGATGCTAGTGTGGAGCAGAGTGTATTAGTGGCACTGTTCGAATCAAGTGCAGTGAGTTTGCGAGATGGAGGAAGAGAGTCTGAAACAATGGTGGATAGTCTATTGGGTGAGAGAGATCGTAGGTTTCTGCGAAAGGTAACCAGTGTAGGAGTGTGTGGCGGCTCAGGAGTAATGTGGATGTTGAGAGACAGAAGGAAATGATCAGATATTTGTAGTGGAGTTACTATTGTTTGATCAGTGAAGCAGTGTCGTGTGTAAATAAGGTCTAGCTGATTACCTGATTTGTGGGTAGCAGAAGTAGGTGCTCTTTTTAGGTCAAAAGAGGCAAGCAAAGTCTGAAAGTCTGCAGCTTGCGGTTTGTCAACGTAAATGTTGAAGTCACCTAGCACCAATAAGGGAGTGGCAAAATTAGAAAAAGATGAGAGAAGAACATCCAGTTCATCTAGGAAGTGACCTAATTTACCTGGTGGGCGGTAGATGACAACCACATTTATGTAGAAGGGGTGGATAATGGTGACTGCATGGAATTCAAAGGAGCTGATTGTTGGCAGGGACGGTATCAGAGTAAATTTCCATTCTTTGGAAATTAGTAGTCCAGTCCCACCCCCTCTCCCTGTCTGACGAGGAGTGTGGGAAAAAGAGAAATTAGCAGAAAGAGTAGCATGTGTAGCAGTGTCCTCCGGCCTCAACCAGGTCTCAGTTAGAGCCATGAGATTATAGTCAGAATATGTAGCTATGGAGGTAATAAAATCAGCCTTGTTAACAGCTGATTGACAATTCCAGAGGCCCACGGAGAGAGAGAGTTGTGAAATAGTAGATACATGTATTGAACGAAGGTTGTGAGGATTACGCCTGCAGCGCACCTCCCGTGTTTTGCGAGTGTTAGTAACAACAGGAATTAGAAAACACATAATAAAAGTGCACTGACAACAAAAAATAAGTGTAAAGTAAAACAAGAAAGTAAAGTACTCAAGTGCTTTGTCGGTGCCTTTGCTCGGTGGAGTCGCGCAGGTAGAGTCGATGGTCTTTACCCTCGTCGGTCTTCACACGAGGCTGCCGCGACCGCTGCCGCGGTGAACTAGTTGTTTATATAACCCCAAAGCACTAGCTGATTGAATTCAGCTGGACACGCCTCGAGAGTCAAAACAAGGGCCGAAACTGAGGCGGACGACGCGAAACCGCGTTTGCGTTCGCTACACAAGCTCTTATAAAGTGCTTCTCCTGCCGACTAATGCTAGCGTGCTCGCTATATAGTGGTTACCTGGCGTTTGGACACGCCTCCCGAGTCAAAACAAGGGCCGAAACTGAGGCGGACGACGCGAAACCGCGTTTGCGTTCGCTACACAAGCTCTTATAGTAACCAAGGAAACAGTGGCTAAACAACTTCTAGTATTATACACAACTGAAAGCAAGTTTAAATGTCCTACAACTTTACACAAACAGCTGGAAACAAGTCCTCAAACCATACACAACAACTGAAACAAATCTTAAATGTACTTACAGGCTGCTGGTCTAGATGCTGATAAAGTGCTTCTCCTCCAGGTCCAGGTCCATAACATATTTTACTTCTGCATTCTTGAAATTTTAAAGGTCCGTACCGGCCCAATACCCCCATAAGTAGTTTTGTTTTCTCATCAGTTAGAATATAATAACTTTTGCATAGATTATGATGGAGACATTTTTTTATTTTTTCTATGATTACTGATATGTGCGGGAACCTATAAAAATAATTACAGCAACCTAGACTGCACAAAACCTAAAAGGTCTTCTTTTTTTTAGAGGGGTTTATTATATTATAACACAGGCAACATATACAATTATTTTAATCACTTTCAACAGTGTTTAATAAAAATTCAAAGGGTTTTCTTTGAAATGATACCAACTTAATGTGGATTTAGGAAGCTTTTGAATTTGGGTAGGCAAATTTCAGACGGAAACCCCAAAATAGCACTTGACTTTAAGAATATTTTTTTCGAAGGTCTACAGAACAAACCATTGTTATACAATGACTTGCCTAATTACCCTTACTTGCTTAATTAACCTAATTAACCTAGTTAAGCCTTTAAATTGCACTTTAGGCTGAATACTAGTACCTTGAAAAATATCTAGTCAAATATTATGTACTGTCATCACGGCAAAGATAAAAGAAATCAGTCATTAGATATTAGTCAGTTAAACTATTACGTTTAGAAACAAAATATTACAGGGAGGTTAATAATTCAGTCTAATAATTCTGACTTCAAATGCAAATATAATAGACACAAACACTTAAATTACAATAAACATGCATACAGATATTTCTAAGTATAATAAACAGAAAATATATATAAGTATGCATATAGTGTATTAAAGTATATAATGTACTAAAGCAATGTAAATGACATATACATATTTAAAAACACACATTTACATGCATATTCATTATTATCATACAAAGTAATAAATCAGAATTATATACTATAAATATTATTATAGATGACATATTCACAATAACAGCATGTGTTACTTTATATACATGTCTGTGTATCTGCATCAAAGCTATCAGAACAAATAAAATCCTAAATAAAAGTTTGTATTTTTATAATATGTGTGTGTATGTGTGTAAACTGTGTATATCGACTTCTTCTACATTTATATATACAAACATATATACAAACACAACATTCAAAAATGTACAAAGCAAAAATATTAATATATTATTTGTATTATTTACAGTTGAAGACAAAATGATTAGCCCTCCTGTGAAACTTTAATTTTTTTCAAACATTATTCCACGAGCTGTTTAACAGAAAGATGTTTTCAACACATTTTTAAGATAATAGTTTTATTAAGGTATTTCTAATAACTGATTTCTTTTGTCTTTGCCATGATGACAGTCCATAATATTTTACAAGACACTAAGTTAATTAGGTTAAGTTAGGTTAATTAAGCAAGTCTGTAGTTTGTTCCGTAGACAACCAAAAAATTGAATGGAGCAAATAATAAATTGCTTTAAAAATTAAAAATAAGACTTTTTCCATAAGAAAAAAAATACACTTATATATTTAATATACTTATACTTAAATATTAATATATACTGTGATAAAAACATGATAATAACTACTGTGAAAAATTTTCCTTGCTCCGTTAAACATCACTTAGGAAATATTTGAAAAAGAATAAAACGTTCACAATAATACATTTGCCTTTAACTGTACATATGAATATTTATATATAAATATGAATTGAAAACAAATATATACACTGTACATGAATGTGTGTATTTATATAATAAAAAATACACTCCAAACACACTTTATTTTGGATATGGTTAAATAACTAAATAATTCATTGAGCATTTGTATTTTAAAGTGTGAAACAGTAATAATAGAAGTAAGGGCACACCATAATAATGAAGATGACGGGTCCTGCGAAGCCCCATATGACGCCGTTCTGAACACTGAGCCAGCAGTGACCATCAGCAGTGTATTTCCCAGAGGCAGAGGCCAGTGTGATGGTGACGATCAGCACTGGCAGACCTGTCAAACAACACACATTTCTATAATACAAATGACTGACTGTGACGGGGAATAAATTATACAAATTAACCAAACTGCATTTGGAAACGAGTGACACAGCAGTTTTCAGAGGCATTGTTTAACTAGTTTGATCATTTTGGTCTTTATTATGATCAGTATATCTGCTTTTCCTTTACTAAGGACCTGTTATTGCACTTTTTAAAAGAGGCAAAATCTTTTTAAAAGAGGTTTCTGATGTCCCTAAAGTGTTTATGTGAAATTTCAGCTCAAAATACACCACAGATCATTTTTTAAAACTCCTAGAAACTGCCCATAATAGCTTTCATCATAATTGTACCTTTTGGTGACTGTCACTTTAAATTCAAATGCTCGCAGCCAGTGGGTGGAGCTACAAATGCCTGTGCTTCAGTGAGATCGTCACTAATGGGCGGGGCTTTCCTCCTCTGATGACACGTACAATGGGAGAATGTTAATTAAAGTGTTTCTACAGACTGTATTTATGAAGTCTGGTTATGAAAAATTTAATTAATTAATTTATATCATTAGAGCCTGGTTATATTCACACACTGTTGCAACACACCTGTGTTAAGCACCATATAAAAGGGATTTTTGAATAATAGGTTCCCTTTAAGACAAAACATTTTCATTAAGTGTTTTCTTTTTGTCTAACGTAAAGAAAACAATCAAAGTAGTTCACATAAAAAAGTCTAAAATGCAAATTTGCACTTCTTGCTTTTTTATTTAAACTTTAGTTCTTGTTATAACCAATGTATCTGCACAGTTCATTACTTAATGAGACTTCTCATAATCTTTTATCGAATACCATGCCCCCTTGAACAATTTTACTTCAATTTTACTTAAAAGTGGATGGACATCACAATATGGGAGAGAATACTTAAACTCAGCTTTAATTAATTGCCAACTTTAAGGTAAGTCGTTTGACCGCGGCCTTCTTTGAAACACCTCTCAGACATGCAAGCACAGCTATTATCTCTCTGAATTTGGAAACATCAAATTCCTCAAAACTGTTTGCCAAGCTCAGGGTTAAATTTCAGATTTGGAACTACCTATGAAATCTAAAAATTATGAAGCCTAAATTAATTTTATCATGTTGACCGGGCTGATGTCAGGAGTGTTCTATAGGCTGTGCAAAGTAACCAGTAGTCATGCAATGTTAGACCCACCCAGTGCTTAATTTGTGTATAGCAAGATACCCTAAACAGATCGAGGTACAGATCCGGCATGTTACCCAGGGAAGGAGAGGTGTCGCGGACAAAAGTGAGGAGCGGGGGTGGAGGGGCGGGGTGGTGATGTCACGGACAGAAGTGTAGTAGGTTGGTGAGTCGCGGAAAAAAGCGAAGAGCGGGCGGGAGGTGGTGCTTGTGAGAAGGGGGATCAGTAAAATAAGGTGCCGGATCAGATTTTAGAGGTGCCGCATCTGAATCCGGCTTGTTCCAGCACAAATTAAGCCCTGGCCCCATCCTCCTAGTTGTTCTGAATGGTGCACTGCTTTGGAACTGACATTGAGGAGCGGTGCTGTGTGTTAAAGTTATATTTTTTGACACGCTCATCTTAAAAATGTGCCGATCATTTGCAAGGTGCTGTGAAAGACACGAGGCACAAGCTTATTGGTTAAGCACGTCTATTAAGTATGTTGTTTACATTTAAAAACAATTACAAGTAGTGCATTAGAATGGAAAATGCGTCCTGTTATTTCTGTTGCATTTTATCAATGTGTGTTTGTGGATTTCAATTACAATGCATACTTTTTAAAGGCTGTTGTGGGTTTTTTCATAAATTTCCACTTCAGCAACACTCACAAACCGCAGTTTTATTCATATCTGTATTCTGAAGGTTTTTACTGCGGGATTTGTTCATACATAATTTGCCTGATTACATGCAATGTTTTATTCTACCAAAAAGTAAGTTTTTTCTGGATGTTTGCTTATTTATGATCTAAAGAGTGATAAAAATAGATTCACAAAATCACCTCAGCAAAAACCTTAAGAAAAAAGAAAAACATATTTTGAACCTGTCCTCCTCCAATGTTCTGATTTATTAAGCAAATTAGTGCATATTTAATTTGAACGATACTTAATTTCCATATTTAAATGCAATTTTAGCGAATTTATAATACTGATAAAAGTTAGTCATTCCTAATTTAATCAATCTGGTGAGTGTGTTGATAAATATTAGGGTTTTTTTGTGTTAAATGAAATGTGTTTTCATCTTTGTCAAGTATAAAGTACATTCTCTATCAGATCAACAGGTTTTCAGCATAGCTATACCATCAAACCCAACCAGTAACTCAGTATACTGTAGGCAGAGACGCATTACCCCAGCCAATCAGGTAGTAGTATTTCATGTGGCGGTCTTCGCTCAGATTAACGCTCACTACTTTGCTCCAGAGCAGCAGGCCTTCGACCAGCATCCAGCTAAAGGCAGCCATGAAGAACAGATGCATCAGAGCCGCCACAAGCGTACAGGCCACCTACAGGGCAAAGGTCAGAGGGCAGACGCTCAGGGGTCAGCAGGTCAAACGGACTCACAAAGGTGGCCGTGTGTCAGTTCATGCAGTGCCAAGTATAACAGCAACACTAATGTTGTTTTAAGACACTGTCAGCCTGATGGGACTATTTTGTAATTGTTCTGGAAAAAGACTTGAGGACTGGAGCTTGAGGATGGGAGTTAATATAGTAAAGCAAATCAATAAAATATTTTGTATTATATAATAAATATCTTTTAATTAATTGATACATGTATATTACTACTTTTAAAAATAGATATTATATTTTGACACTGATATAAAAGCTGAAAAAACATAAATATATGAAAAAAAATATTTATATGTTATATAAATATGATAACAATATATATATATATATATATATATATATATGAATATTACATAATTGTAATGAAAAGTAATAACAAATGAATATTTGGCACCGTTATATAAAACCTAAATTACATAATAAATGCTAAATAATGTACTAAATTTACTCAAACAAAAAAGAATCAAAATGCAATGCATTTTTATTCTGCTTTTATTAGCTGAAATTAAAAAACTATATTTTTAATAACAATTATATATATAAAAAGCTGAAAAAACTGATTAAAATGTTTGCATTTGCTACTACTAACTGAAATAATAAAACACAAATTTTCTAAAGATATTTATATATTTTTACATATTTATTAACAATATATTATTGTATTATTTTATATTATTATAATTATGAATAAATCATAAAAACAAATTAAATTATATAACTAATGCATAGTAATTATATTATATATAGTTATTATATAATTCTCTATTAATATATAGAAATAATTATATTCTGCAAATTTTAATACTTTACATAAAATGAAGGAGACATAAATATTACTACTTTAATGCTATTGAAAAAATCATATTTATATCCTTTTATAGCTCTTTATAATATGACTAGATTTATTATTTTAATTACATTATGCTATTTTTTATCTTAAATAATAATAATAACAATAATAATAATAATAATAAAAACAGTATAGTGGTGTTGCTACTTTTACCTAAAGCTATATGAAATAACATTTAACAGCTAATAGTGGTTATAAGAATAAAGCTGTTTATTTATATAAAATATTATAAAGCTACATAGATAAAAGTTCATAAACAATACTAAAATAAATGAGCTAATTTTACAGTTTAGAATGAGGGGGCAACTTTAACTCAAGTTTTGAATGTTGTGCACCAAATAAAAGTGTGGAAAAACTTGATACCTTATTATGAACAGCAGATCCACTGCAGAGAAGAACAATCTGAGCACAGGTCAGAGACACAAATAGGTTCTTGTGGACTGATGTACGATCTGATTTCGGGATGCTGTTAAAAAAAAAAAAAAGAAACATTCCTGGTCATATTAATTCACATTTATTTGCTATCGTTATATATATATATATATATATATATATATATATATATATATATATATATATAAATATATATATATATATATATATATATACATATATAATTTTTTATGTATTTATTTATTTATTTAAACATTTTCTTGTAAGACTAAAAATAATACCTGCATAAAAACATCTTTAATTTGTGTTTGCACAACATGAAAGAATTAAGGTAACTTATTAGATTTTACAAATTTAAGTGGATTGAACACAAAACAAACAAGTTTAAAAAAAAAAAAAAATGTGTCGTATCATTTTAAATAAGTAGTTTGAACAAACAGCAAATATCATTTTTTGAGTGTACACTGTAAAAAATGCTGGGTTCCATACAATCAATTTTGTAAAAGAATGAAGTTGTCCCTCAAAAAAACTTCATTTTAAAAAAATGTTAAAGAATTGTGTTGTTTCAGCTCATTTATAATAAGCAGTTTGTACAAATGTTACTATTTTAAGTGTAGTGATCAACAAGTCATAGCTGTACGTTAATTCTCGCTGTCTTGTTCACACCTGCAGTGTGTGGTCTTAATCCAGATGAAGTGGGAGTGTTTGTGGAGGCTGTAAATCTCTGAAAGAATCAGCTTGGTTGATACGGCGCTGATGAAGCTCTTTTGGTTTGAGCCGCTGCTTTAATTAACTCCCCCTGTAATGTCACCATAAAACTTCAGCTTCGGGCTCATTTGGCACCGAGCACTAATTAGCCGATTAGTGGTTTTCAATAAGGATTCGGTCTCAGGACTGAGCGCTATTGACAACCGTGAGGACTGTGATTGTGAGTTCATGTTATGAGTCTATGAGCCCAAACACTCAGGCCACAAAATGAACACGCAAATGAGAGTAACAAAAGGTTCCCGGCGAACAAATGAAACAGTGTTTCTTTTGGTAATTGGCTAACGAGTTTGTTTGTTTGTTTGTTCTTTATTTCTAAGTCGCCATAAAAAATAAACTGAATTATTTACTAAATAGAAGGAAACTGTAATGTTTATTGTTGTATTGTGTGAAAATTAAATTTCCCTTCAATAAAAACTTTATTATTCACTCAATTTATATCACTCTGTCTTTGGCTTGATGCACCCTAAAACTTCTTTGTTGATGATTCTCGCTGTTTACAGGATGTGCAACAGTCTCCTCCAGCACCACAACTCGAAGGCATTGATCTTTCTTCTGTTTGCCTTCTTGATTGTCCAAGTCTCGCAGCCATAGGTTGCTATAGGGAAGATGATCACGTTGAATAGCCTTGCTTTAGTTGCGGTGCTGATATCCTTACTTTTCCAGACGGCATTCATGCACACCAAGGGTTAATCGTCTCTTGATTTCAGGTGTCGTGTCCTCATTTCGGTCAATCTTGGAACCAAGGAATATAAAGTCCTATTCTGTCTCGATTTCTTGTGGATCGTGGATCTTTATGCTGCATCTTCCATTCTCGGAGGTCACCTTCGTGTTTTTGATGTTAAGGCACAACCCCACCTTCTCACTTTCTTCTTGCACTTTCAAGACAAGTAGTAATAATAATTATATATTATTCATTCATTCATTTTTTTTTCAGCTTAGTCCCTTTATTAATCAGAGGTCGACACAGCTGAATGAATCGCCAACTTATTTAGCCTGTTTTATACAGCGAAACACCCATACACATACACTACGACCAATTTATTTTATTCAATTCGCTTATACTGCATGTCTTTGGACTGTGGGGGAAACCAGAGCACCTGGAGGAAACCCACGCGAACACGGACAACATTCCGCTGTAGCGACCCCAGTATAATAAAGGGACTAAGCCGACAAGAAAATGAATGAATGAATAAAAACTGAGCCATAAGTCATAAGCCATAAGTAGGCCCACACAGAATCTGCATGTAGAAATCCGCAGATTTTTATCCCATCATTGATATTCATATTTAGATTATTTGCTTGTGTAAATGTGTGTACATTTCTATTTATTCAGTTTTTAAATTAATTTCAGTAAAAATATTTACTAATATAAATACGTTTCTGTCCTTCAGTAGATATATTATAGAAAAGATTTGCTTTGTTTACCAAATAAGTGGATCTAAATGGATTTGCTTTGTAAAGGTAGAATAAAAGTTTAAAAGTATTTTTTTTTTTCCAGATATTGAGCTTTTAGTTATGATACTATCAAAATCATTGCACACAAATCTGCAGCTTTCTTTTACAATTCAGAGCAAAAAAATGTCTGCAGATTATGTCTGGCCCTACTAATTACTCACTCACTCGCGTATTTGTTGTTTCTTTTGCTTATCACAATAGGAGGAACAGTCAGGGCACTTTTATCATGGATACATCTTTGCATCACAGTTACATTTGAACATAGTCTTTCCCAATCCACATTATGTCTGGCCCTAAAAAATGGTGCCTACAAAGTCTATCAAAATATTTAGTACTTTTAGCATACATTAAGAATAAAAAAGTAGCATATTTAGAATAAATATTTAGGGTGTCACGGTGGCGCAGTAGGTTGCCTGATCACCTCACAGCAAGAAGGTCGCTAGTTTGAGCCTCGGCTGGGTCAGTTGGCATCTCTGTGTGCTGTTTGCATGTTCACCCCATTTTAGTGTGGGTTTTCTCCAGGTGCTCCGGTTTCCCCAACAAGTCCAAAGACATGCGCTATAGGTGAATTGGGTAGGCTAAATTGTCCTTTGTGTGTGTATGTGTGTGTGTGTGTGTGTGTGTGTGTGTGTTTGAATGAGTGTATATGGATGTTTCCCAGTGATGGGTTGCAGCTGGAAGTGCATCCACTGCATTAAACATATGCTGGATAAGTTGGTGGTTCATTCTGCTGTGGCGACCCCAGATTATTAAACTGACTAAGCCGAAAAGAAAATGAATGAATGAGAATAACTATTTAACAAATTTTGCATATAATAAAAATGTTAGTACTAAAAACAGTGCAAAAAAATTACAAAAATGTAAATAAAATTAATGAAAAACAAAAGCTAATTTAAATAACACAACGTTTACAAAATAAATAATGCAAAACCATTTGATTAAGAGCTTATTTCTCCAGTTTTTTAATAAAATAATGTATATAAATCTTTATAGCTACTAAAAAATAATTTAGCACCAGTTGAAAAAAATATAATAATTTTAGGCGTATTGGTGGCACTTTTGACCCCCATTACAGTCCTCAGGAAGCCAACACTAGAAGTCAGACATGATAAAGACGGTGAATGATGCGGTGTATGGGTGAAAAGCACTTACTCCAACACGGTAAACAGCATCAAGGTCACCAGCAGTGCACAGAGAGACGCTCCAGACCCGATAAACGTCAGCTTCGTCAGAACACTCTCCTCTGTAGCGCTCCACTGTGGAGAAAACGCCATCAAAACACAATTGTGGAGCCATTATGCTCATATACTGATATGAGAGATATATATATGTTTTAGTAATGTAATGCCTGTTTAGGATTAAAGTAAAATCATACTTGCTGTTTATAAAGTTTTACAGAGGACATATACATATAACGCTGGATGCCAATTCACTAAGGCTTTATTTAGGACAATTGTAAGCTAACAGTGACCTCTACTGGACAGATTGTGTTAAAACAGATATTCAATGTAACATTTAAAAACGCACAATCATTTTTCATTTCATTACAAAACATTTTATAAGGAATAATTATTTTTAGGAAACATTATCTTATATTCAAAGCTTCATATATTTATATGAAAAAAAATAGCAACATTATTATACAGGGAATGTTATAACTTTAAAAAACAGTTTTCAATTTTATTATACATTCAAATGTATTTTATTAATATTGTATTGCTAATATGCTTATCTGCCTCTTTTATTTCTTGTTTATTTTGGCTGTGTATATATATACATACATACATACATACAGTTTAAGTCCGAATTATTCGTTCCCCTCAATTATTAGCCCCCATTTATTTTTACCCCAATTTCTGTTTCTGTTTTGTTGAAAAGATTTTTAACACATTTCTAAACATAATAGTTTGAATAACTCATTTCTAAAAACTGATTTATTTTATCTTTGCCATGATGACATTAAATAATATTTGACTAGATATTTTTAAGACACTTCTACACAGCTTAAAGTAACATTTAAAGGCTTAACTAGGTTGATTAGGTTAACTAGGCAGGTTAGGGTAATTGTCAAGTTATTGTATAATGAAGGTTTGTTCTGTAGACAGAAAAATTAGCTTAAAGGGGCTAATAATTTTGACCTTGCGTTTAAAGTGTGTATAAGTGAGTGTTTTTACTGTAATATGATAATTTAAATTTTAATTAATAACAAATCAATAATTTAATATAAAATTCATTATTAAAAAACATTTAAAATTATATTTTTATTTCATTTTGATTCACATTTTTATTTCAGAGCTTTATTAAATAAAATGACAAATGAAATGTATTTTATCTTAATTTAAAATCTCACTATTAATACAAAATTATAAAGCAGCAATGTTTATCATTAGTTTTTTACATATTAATTTAAATGATGCTGACATTTATGCATTGCATCACAGAAATAAATGAGATTTTAAAACATTACAACAGAAAACTGTGATTTTACCCATTTTAAATAATTGACAATATTTAAAATATGTAATAATTACATTTAAAAGATACATAAAATATGCTATTAATATAATATTTGCACATGTGAGCAGATTGTAACTAATATAATTTATTTGACATTTATTATTCCATTAGTTAAGAAATCTTTGTCTACAGCATGCAATTGGTTACACTTCTAACACACTATAAACATACCCGTGACTCCATATAATTTATGAGGACAGCAAAATTGGTGGTGTGGTTGCAAAAGCAGGAAGTGACATCAAGAGGTGAAGGCACCACTCTGCACCCTTTGTTGGACCAAGCACTTGTATGACCCGGCCTGTGAACACAAAATCAGACTTACAGAAGACCTGATGTAATATAACAGAAACCAAATTAACAACATGATTATATTACTTACATCAAGCCAATATTCCAGAAGACACAGACGGGAGTAGCATGTTTGGAGTATTCAGTCTTAACCAATAAAAATAAGGAAAAATTGTCAAAGTAATATTAATTTAGTATGACTGATGTATTATTCATTTTTCATTCATTTTCATTCGGCTTAGTGCCTTTATTCATCCGGGGTTGCCACAGCAGAATGAACCGCCAACTTATCCAGCATATGTTTTACAGAGCGAATGCTCTTCCAGCTGCAACACAGTACTGAGATGGATACATACACACTCATACACTACAGTCAATTTTTAGTTTATTCAATTAACCTACAGCGCATATGTTTGAACTGTGGGGGAAATCCAAGGAGGAAACCCACGCGAACACGGGGAGAACAAGCAAACTCCATTCAGAAATGCCAAATGACTCAGCCGGGACTCGAACCAGCAATCTTCTTGCTTTGAGTCGACAGTGTAAGCACTGAGCCATCGTGTCGCCTCATATATTAAGCGATAGTTGATTTATTTATTTATTTATTTATTGATATAGTCAAAAAAACTACATATTTGATATATAAAACAAAACCAAACCAAAATGTACAAAATAATAATAAATTATAAAAAAATAGTTTCAGACACAAAACATTTAGTACAGTTGCAATTCTTTTATTTAATTTTTTTATTAATTTATTTTAAGATAAGCATTATTTACTGAGTTTATAGCTCACTGACTACTATAAGGGTTTATCTTAAACATAGAGCCTCCCTGATTCCATTAAAACACCTGACAGCAGTCTGCTCAAATCTGTCAATCACTTTTCATCTCGACCAATAGCAGGGTTTGGGGTATGACTGCTATCCGCTACATGCTTGGCTTGCACCGTTTTTTTTTTTTTGTTTGTTTGTTTGTTTGTTTTGTTTGTTTGTTTGTTTTACCTGAATCCCAGAGGATAAAGTATACTGGACAGACACAGGAATATTTTCTGCTCTGGGAACATCCCGCACTGTCGCTGAGATCACTGCTGTGGCCAGCTGACCAGTGTGATGCCTGTGAATAAATAAAAAAAACAAGTGTGTTAAACTGATGAAAAAAAATGTATGAAATAAAACATATTTATCATAAAGCTTTTTTTTTTTCCTAATAATGATAACAAACATAATTTGCTAAAAGCGTTTTTTTTTTCTATTCTGGTTTAGTTAATAATAAATAATTGACATTAAAACCACCAATGATGGCAAGTCATTGCCTTTAATTCAACCATTCATTCAATCGATTCATTTAAATGGCTTATTAATGAATTAATAATTGACTCAAACAGCTCAAAAGCAAAATCATTCTGGAACAAAACACAACAGTATTGTTCTTAGAGACAAATGTTCTACTTCTGCTTTGTTAGAAAATTTTCTAGAACATTTTAATATAACAGACAATGTAATGTCTAAAATGTAAACTATTATTTTTTTTTTAGTTGAACAGTTCAAATCAATATCAGATCTGAAATGATCCATGCTTATATTTTACAAAAAGTGCTCCTGCTAGTGTTTATATAAAACACACACACACACACACACACACACACACACACACACACACCTATACATACAGGGATGTTTTAACTGATAATATGACTGACTGCTAATAGGCTTTGTCATGCAGTGAATGCTTTTGAATTCTCAAAAAAAATTTCCGTTTTGGGATAATACCAGTTCAAACTTAATAAAACCATACACAACAACTTTATCATGGACAAAAAATGTATTACACACCCCTAAAAGTGGCTGCTTTTGTCTCGCATCCTTCAGGATGTCATGTTTTGTGTTCAACAAAATTATAAAAAAATTCATAAAAACTACATTCAAATCCGTCAATCAATTTTCAGCTTGACCAATTACAGAGTTTGAGGGTGTGGCTACATGACAAAACCTTCATTATTAATTTTCCTTCGGCTTCCTTCTATTTCAGAGATCACAACAGCGGAATTAACCACCAACTATTCCAGCATATGTTTTACTCAGCGGATGACCTTCCAGCTGCAACCCAGTACTGGGAAACACACACTCATACACAACGGCTAATTTAGTTTATTCAATCCCCCAAAGCGGAGCACCCGGAGGAAACCTATGTGAACATGTGGAGAACATGCAAACTCTACACAGAAATGCCTCCTAGTGCAGCTGGGACTCGAACTTGTGACCTTCTTGCTTTGAAATGAATGTGGTAACCACTGAACCACTGTGCCGCCCCCATTCCAAAACAATATATATGATATTATAGACAAAAAACGAAATACACCCCCTAATTGTGCATTAGGATGAAAAGATTAAAGTTTTAGGTATGAAGACATTGAGTTGGCTCTTGCTGACCTCTTGCCGTCTGTCAGTTGTTCAGCAGTGGTTTTGACCTCCAGTCTGGACAAGATCTCAGCCAGGTTACTGTAGTACGTATGAATCAGCATCACTTCCTTATGGCCTGTTAGCGACAGATGCTTTTTAAAAACATTTGGCATGACATTTATCTTCTGAAATCAATCAAAACAATCCATACCATCTTACCTAAAGTAAAGACTCTCTGCATTTCAGACTCTGGTATGATGATTTCATCATGGCTGCCAAACTGACCGCCGTGAACTGAGGGCTTGAAAACACAACCGCAGCTCACCTGAGCCAGTTGTCGCGGCTCCAGATGGATATCTAGGGAAGCAATTGGTCTCTTGACTCTTGATATAACAAGCCGTTATTGTTACTTGTATGTTTTGTATGATAGGACAACTAAAAAAGCAATGGCTAATTATTAACACCTGTTCAGAACAGACTTTGTCTTTTTTACTCTAAAACCTCTCAAGGAAACATATATTGACTCTTTATTTTTTGATATGCTACCTCGTCATGATAAATGAGTCAAAAACACTGTACCCATGCTCTTTGTTGACATTGTGAAGCTTTGGTGTTCGGCCCAGAGCTCATCCGCCAGAATCCATAACTGCTTGTCAATATTTTCTATAATTGTCAATGGTCCGGGGTGATCCTAAAAAAAAAAAACAGAAAAAACCCTAATAAACTTGAATTCTAAAACAGTAGGGTTTTATCCAACTTTCAGTCCCACAAACAAACTTCACGTACTTTCAAATCCTCCCACTTTTCGGCCATATTGGGGTCAATGAGCCTGCTGACTAGTTCTAGGTTATTGCGGATCATGGATTTGAAGAGTTCAGCAGGAATGCCTATTTTATTGAGTTGAGTGGCTTTCTCTATGGTTTCAGTGAGGTACAGAAGATCAGAAGGTGTTATGATTTCTGCATTGCTGTCCAGAACTCTCAATACTGCGCTCAAGAGGGAAATATGACGAGTCAGTTCGTTCTCAGAGAAAAAGGTCGCATTTGCATTTTCAGTATCCTGTGGAAAAAAAAGGAAGATTATGTAAGATCGAGTCATTTAACTCTGAGTTGAAATATTCAATGTAAGGCTAAAAAAATGATAAGGAAATGAATTTACAAGAGTAAGGAATAGTTTCTTGGTGAATTCTGAAAGTTTACAGTGCACCTAATAAAAATAAGTCATGAGCTCTGTTTAACTCACGGGTTTGGAATGAAACTCGCTGCTGACTTTGGAGAAGAATGAAGTCCCTGGAAAATCAAAGTCCAGCTGCACTGAAATGAAAATACACAAGAATGCATTACAGCACAAAAAGAAACAGTATTTAGACAGTGCCTGGCTCTAAAAATACAGTAAGTTATCAGATGTAGCATGTATTGACAGATACGTATTCTTGGCTATATTGTGGGGTGACACAATGGTGCAGTGGGTAACGCGATGTTTGCATGGGTTTCCTCCGGGTGCTCCGGTTTCCCCCACAGTCCAAAAATATGTGGTATGTGTGAATTGAATAAGCTAAATTAGCCTCAGTGTATGTGTGTGAATGCAAGAGTGTATGGGTGTTACCCAACGTTGGGTTGCAGCTGGAAGAGCATCCGCTATGTAAAACATATGCTGGATAAGTTGGCGGTTCATTCATCTGTGGCGACCCCTTATGACTAAAGGAACTAAGCCGAAAAGAGAATGAATGAATAAATGGATAAATGGTTATAATGTGTAACCATGTTTCATAATTCACATTTTTTCTTGAAGCTTAAAAATAGCCGGTATATTTAGCAAAGATTTACAGCTTGTATCAAAATTACCTAGTTAGTTATGAGAGAGGAGCAATATTAGTCTGGTTCCATGTATGGTATGGTTGTATGGAACTTCATGCGAATGCTTCGCAATTCATCAGGATGCAAAATATCAGTTGTTACTTCAATTTTGTTGGAACTTTAAGCCAGTACCGTCGCAAGCTTAACTGGTGCTCTAGGCAAACAAGGATTGTGTCCCCCTCACGATGTTCATGAGGGATGAAGCAATGTTTCACAGACAAAAGTGAAGAGCCACCCCTAGCAAAATGCTGCCCTGCCGATCACCCATATTGCCCATGCCTAAATGTACTGCTTTAAGCATTGAGTTTTTTATACACCGGGTTGTAAAATCATGTTCTGTATCACTGCATATGTTTGATTTTCATTAGTGATTTGTGCATGGAGATACAATCTTCTGAATTTGTGCTGTAACCAATCTATGAAAATTACAAAACCAATTTGATAATATAAACAAGCAGAAAAATGACTCGGTTCAGTCGGTTGTGAACAGTATTATATAGTGCACTTGTGTAATAACAATAGACTTCCATTCATATGCACACGCATGCAACAGACCGGAAACACAAGCTCATGCGACAAGTTTCGCAGTTGCAAACTTGGTGAACTCTGACCTGCGAAGTCACATCATGTGACTGCATAAGACCAATTAAAGATTAAAACATAACCTGAGTGTACAAAAAGTTTAAATATGGACCAATCGCTCGCTTTTTAAAAAGTTTAATCATCTTGTTTAATCCCACCCCTTTTCGCAGCATCATATGACAGAACTTAACATGCTCATACTCTAGTGTAACCACAGCATAAGTCAGCGAACAATGCAAATATGTGTATAACAGCTAGGGATGCAACGATTAACTGATTTCTTTATTAACCACACTTTCATTTTCCATGGTTAATTAATGGTAAAGGCTTATTAACACCATGTTTCTGCACAGAACAAACTGCTGCAACTAAACAAAGTTATGCCAACTAGGCTTGCCACGATAGACGGTGTTGACGGTGATACCGGTTTTAAGATGCAACACCGGTGACATCACGTTTCCACCATGACACCGTCCCCACATTTGTTTTTTTTATTTGTTGTTTTTTTATTAAATATTCATTTAAATTAAATGGAAAATATAATTCGTAATAATTTACTTAAGATGAGAGCATGCATTAATTAAAATCACATAGCAATGCATCATATTTCATTTATCACGTGACGAGAAGAAATATGCAAGGCATACTCTCATTTTAGAAATCAGGCGACCATCATCTCAATGTTTAATAAATATCTTATTTTTTTTATTAAAACAAGAATGATTTAGCAATGCCACGCCATTGACAAGCCAACTGCAGAGAAACAAAGCAACCATCGCGGCAACCGCAGAGAGCACTTTTTCCAAAGTTCAGCTCTTCGTTTTGCACTTTATTATACGTTTCATGTAAAAAAAATAATAATAATAATAATAAATTATAGGCCTACAAGAGTGGGACCTGTGTGTGCGCGCGTCTTTTATCACCAAGGCCGCTATCTTTTAAAACCCAAAGTTGCTTCGTCTGTCTGGAAATTTTAATAAATGAAAATAATAAATGAAATGTACTATTTTTAATAGATTTTATAAATGAAAAGTTAATTTAAGTGAGCCAATATTAAAAAAAGTTATTATAAAGTAACTGTGAAGTGCAGCTACACATCGAATCTGAGGTCTGATCTCATCACTCTCTCGCTGTCATTCAGACATCAAGACGCCACACAGGTTAAGTCGCAAAACTGAAGCTGGTGCAGCTGACAGGTAGAATAGCTGAAGCCTTTGCGAAATCTGTCAAAATACAGCACTGAAATTAACAGGCACAAATGTCTTTGAGCCAAAAAGTCTATCTTTATCTGTCAAAACGCAATTGGAGCCAATGTGTATGTAGGAGTTGTGTAGCCTATTAATCATATTAATTCTAATAAAATGAAAACCGTGTGCAGAGTTACTGAAGTTTGTCCTGCGCGCTTGCGTTTTTTTAGTTACTTCTTTGGTTTGGTGCGTTAATCTGATCGTTACTATTATTTAAAAGAAGGTAATGATTCGCACTCAATTGCTTCATACTGTTTTTATTTTAACTTTTTCTTACATTTTACGGGTGATAACAGACAATCACCCGTAAAATGTAAGAAAAAGTAAAAATAAAAACAGTATGAAGCAATTGAGTGCGAATCATTACCTTCTTTTTAATAATAAAATGAAAACCAAAATAAAGTATTCACTGCATTTTTCATTTGATAAAAATATACGTAAACGAAAAAAACTCAAAGGGTGACTAGTTTGTATTAATGTGTCTTAATATTAATAAAAATATGCTTAGCCTATTTAAGCTTAACGGTTATATACTGCGCACCACGCTACTGAACTCCAATATCTCTGAGGAAGATTATATTACTCGATAGACAACATTACCTTGAGAGATTTTAAAAATAAAAGATATTTTAAAAAAGGAACAACACGCAAATCGGCAACAAATAAAACATCTTGCCAGGGTATGATGTGTGTAATCCGCCACTGACATTCGAACACCTGTCAACTGCCGCTTGTGAGAGAGAGCTCAAAGCTGGTCTCCATATAACCAAAATAGCAAGATCATGTAGTTATAAATATTTATACATTTACATGTTGTTTAGTGAGATTGTGTGATCTGTATAGGCTGTCTAATCTTTACAGGAGCTGTACACTGACACGTGTGCGGTGATGTTTAGCTCTGATGAGGCGATTTTATTTAGACTGTAGTCTTTAGATTTTTTACATCATGTTTAATTTCTTAACATTTCTTTAATTTTTTTTTTATTTTTAGTTTATATATCAAATTAGTGCTAGCTTGTTTAGTTGTGATCATTATGCAAGGATCATATTTCATATTCGGTTTATTCTTCAATAGCCTATTCGTTAATAATGTATTTTATAAACGGGTTGTTCATAAGGACTAAGCTATTAATATATAATGCATTAGGTTAATTAATACATTGAGAAATTGAAGTCAGGTAGGACAACAAAAGACAACCAAATATGTTCCCCCTGTTGGCAAATGTAACCAAAAAGTATCTTTGCATGTGCGCAACAAGCTGCGCATCAGAGTGTGTTCAGCACCATGGGGAACATAGTGTCCCCCACAAGATCCCATCTTAAGCCAGAGATGGTCAACATATTGGCCAGGATTCCTGGCAAAGAACATGTAAACCTCACCCATAATAAATGCCAATTTACAGTGTTTTTGTTTATTTAAATTTTTTTTTAAGACTGTGTCGACCTTTCATTTTTGTAATGTAATTTCTTTTAAATTTGTTTCTTGTTCATTCGTTTAATCTTATTTAAACTTTGTGCAATTTAATTATTTATCTTTCTATTGTATTTTATTATTTTATTATTTAAAAACATTTAAACAATTGCCGCAAAACTGAAAGTGAAAGTATTATACGCACACATTTATAAGCTATTTAAACGCAGAAATAGGAAACCCCCACCCCCACGGTGATACCGGTATTACCGGTGTTGACACATGTCGATTAACCGGTGGGGAAATTTCCTCATCGTCATAACCCTAATTCCAACTGTGCGCTACTTTAAAGTTCCAAGCTTGTACACCGAGGCTAATACGCATACACACTCGATTAACTATGGCTGAGGCTATTAACTAAGGGCAGTTCATGTAATGTCTCTTGCGCATGAAAGTTAGTTTTTCTTTTCTTGCGTGCATATTGTGAATGATGTGCATACGTGCACGTGGTTCACTCGCTGCACGATGTGTTCACACTTTCCAGGCGCACCTAGTTGAAAGAATGGCATGACTGCGAGTCACATGAAAAGAACTGATCAGTCAGTTTCATATTTTGTATGGAATTTACAAATTTCTACTCAAAAGAGAAAAAAATACAAATTGAAAATACCAAACAAGTTCATATATAGTTGATCAAAAGTGCCTGTCGGAGAGAGGTTCAGCAGCCTTTGACTATATATATGTTCTTTTTAAAAGGGAAATGCTTAGCTTATATGTTGCTTAGATTTACATTAGACAAATACTATATTTTTATTTTTTTTATTTATTTATTCATTGTTCTGTATTTTATTTTCACTTAAAAATCATTACTTATGTTTAATTGCAAAAACTTTTTTCCCTTATTTTTAAATCCAAAAAGAAATGGACCATTGTTTGATTTTTTTTTATTATTTTGTGCTGTATTATTTAGTTACTGAGCAGCAATAAATAACAATTTAAAATATAAGGAGTTTTCAAGTCATTTTCTAAACTAGTAGTGCTCTGAAATTAATAAATACACAATAATCATGCATGGAACTGTGATTATTTCATAGACTATAACAATCAAAATCTATAATTGTTGCATCCCTAATAACAGCCTCCAAATATATTCAAATAGATAAATCTATTAATACAGTACTGAAACATATCACAGAAATTTTGGATGTATTGGCAAATATTGTGTTGCTGTGTAAGAGAGACAATATCAGATTGTATAACGACAAGGAGTTTGATTTGCAGAAATAGTCACAATACAGAAGAAACCTGTTGTTCAGTTTTGTTAGGACTTGTTTTTTGAAAATGAAGAATGCCATAAATCAGGTGATCACCTTTGGGGACCAGACAGACGCTTCCTCTGTGTGTCCAACACGAGTCATTAATCGGTTTCCCACTTACAGGGTCAAAGGTTACACAAGTCTTGTTCGAAAAATTCTGATTCAACCCAGAGATGAGAATTTGGTTTGGTGGTTGACTTCTGGAACCTAAACAAATTACAGATAAAAAAATCATTCAGCAGAAAATGAATCCTTTTGTGTAAATTCATCTGTCTGGGGCCAAGTTTGCGTTTGGTCTGCCAATTTTAAGATGTCAACATGAGTCATAGTTCTTAAGCTCTCCAAGTCTGTAAAGACCATATGTCCTCGCTTCAGAAAAGAGTAAGAAACTCATGACTCATGTGATGGCAAGTGCATGTTCTGAAGGGTGGGTCTTAGGATTACAGAACGGATGAAATATTTACAACCATTACGAATAACGTTTTGCAGTATTATCTTTGGGGAAAGAGTGGAAATTATTACATGAAGGTGCAAGACCACCTGCATTGACTGTACCTTGACATGGCGAGTTCCCTCTACGTGTCTGTAGAGAGGTTTCAATTTCTAGTGCGGATTCATTCCACCTGAAGAACAAGCCAGAAGGAACGGGTGAACAGGTTTTTTCCATGCTTTGGACTTCAGTTTGGAGCAACAAATGATCCCACATGAAAAGCTGCGTAATGTTCCCACAAAGAGCGTTGTTGTTGTTGTTGTAGCCTCCGTAGGTCTCCTGGTCTTGTCCAATCATAAAAAGGCCATCACCTCCGATGTGATTGGTGGAGTTGGGGAAATTCCCAGAACCCACCATTCTTCCATCCACCCAGATGACCCACTCCCCGCTATTCCCAACCCAACTGGCACATACAAAGTGCCAGGAGGCGTCATTGGGAAAGCTGGTTATGTAGGTGGTGTTCAAACCATGCACCAGCAATGCAAGCTGGACGGGTTCGTTACTCACGATCCGTGCTTGGAGTTGAAATTCTTTAATAAATAGCTCTATGGCATATGAGAAGATTGTGGAAAGCCCGTGACAAGTTGGATCTAACTGGAGGTGAGTGCAAACTGTAAGCGCTTCCATGTTTGGGAACTTATAGCGAAGGCGAGCTGATTTCCGGTGTGGCCGCTTAGGGAATTCCAGCATGTATATGTCTGGAGAACCTAGAAACATTTTAGGAAAAAAAATTCAATAATAGAGAAGTTTCAACCCGATCTCACAAAGAAATGTAACTTTTTCACAAACGGTCAGAAAGGTGGCTAATTTGTATGAATTCATAGAATATATTCATATAATTCATGGAAACCTACCTTTCACTTAGATATGAGCAAATCTTGCTAAAATGTATGAATGAGGTCATATAAATTGGGGGTCACCAATCTCGTTCCTGGAAGTCCGGTGTCCTGCAGGGTTTAGCTCCAACTTGCCTCAAGTATACCAAGTAAAACCTTGATTAGCTTGTTCAGGTGTGTTTGATTAGGGTTGGAGATAAAATTTGAAGGACACTGGACCTCCAGGAACAACTTTGGTGATCCCTGATATAAATTAATACGAATTAGCCACTTAATTAAAATGTTTTGAATTGCTGTGAGAGAGCATTGGATGTACACAGGAAAATGTAAGATATGGTGCTCACCACTTTTTTGGAACAAGCCTGCACTTTCTATCCATACAGGTTGGCCGATATTTATAGACCGTAGAAAATTGTTAAGTTTTTGCATTTCTTCAGTGTTGGAAACCTTCGCCAGGGTCCCTGAACGCTGATGGCAGACCTCACGGGCAATGTTCCACGGCTGCCGATCTGGCACATACTCAGGGTAAAAGTCATCATATGAGAGCAAGGTTTTGCTGTCCACTGTAAACACAGGAGTATTTTGTTTACAGACACAAACAGACTCATATATTTGGCAAAACAACCTGCAACCAAGTTGTAATTCTGTACATGAGATTTCAAACTCTCCTTTGGGTTGTTTTAGTTACACGTGGTTTCTTTCACACTATCTTTTTAAATAACAGTAAAATATAACAGGAATTAGTTTTACATGGTTGTATGCTCACATGAACGCTTACCTTTTTCCAAGCAGAGATGAATGAGAAGCTTGAAAACAAAAGGTTTACCATTATGCACAAACAAACACTAGGAATTTTTAATTTAGTATTCATAACATGGGAAACCAAATGTTTCCAACAGATAACATTGTTAGTTAAGACGAGAACTAAGTTAGCCTACTTACAATAACGTTGCTGTAAATCATTTTCAACAGATTCATGCTGTGGGGAATAAAGACAACATTCATAAACAGTGACACTGGCATGTACCAAAGGAAATACTTCGACAGCTTTAAACGAAAAAAAAAATTCACGTGGTGCAAAAACATCAAATAAAGATGAATAAGCATCTTAAAGCTTTAAATAAGAATAAAATCGTCCATTACCTGATATGACGTAAAGCTTAAGTCGTATGTCATAAACGCAATGTTTTAACTCGAAAAGAAAAGTTTAATAACAAATGGTTTAACGTTACAGGCGCTTTCGGTTGAATGCGAGAAACTCCTGTGTGAGATCATTAGAACGAGCGCGCGCCCCCGCTCTGAGGAGACTGCAGTTCCCGCCACTCCCCCATGATACAAATAACTTTTGCTTTTCTGTTCCTGAGACATAAACATGCTAATAACTACATTTTGCTATCAAGTTATATACCAGAAACCATTATATTTGAACTCTACAAACATTTAGGTTTGTTGTGTGAGGACATAAATCGATTTGCCCCTCATTTGCCAATATAGCACAGAAATAAAAATAAAGACGTGTTAACACGTTTTCCAAATAAGTTTTAAGATAAAGAAATACTAATTAAATGTCAGTCATTTTAAATAAAGCCATTTGTTGCCGCTTCGAGTAAAATACAACATTATTACCTTATTTGAAATGGAAAAAAATCCTGTTACTTTATAACGAGCAAATATTCACATTTCTGCTGCAACCAAAAAAAAAATAGTAATAATCTAAATAAATAAAGTGTTGGGTTAAGTAACTTTTAAATTTAAATCTATGTTTATCAATATCAGTTTTATTTAGCACTATTAAACACAACCAAAGTTTGACCAATATGCTGTATAATATCACAAAAAGGATATAAAATTATAGCTAAAACAAACAATTCTCATTGATAAAATGCCAAGTCAATAAGGCAAGTTTTCAACCTAGTTTAAAAACAGACAGAGATGTTATAGATCTGATACAGAGGGGCAGAGCATTGCAAAATGTAGGCGCTGCTGCGAAATCATGGTCACCCCTGCATCTCAGCCTCAGCTTAGGGATTTCAAGTTAAAACCCAGACAGCACACATACGTTGGGCCGACGTCGTGCCGATTTTCAAAATTCCATCGGTGCGATGTCGCTCAGGGAGCGTTTGCTAATTGGCAAAATGTCGCCGCGACGTCGGCAAATGATCGGACACGCTGTCCGGCCGACGTTAGGACGACGCAACCGGAAATACCGGCCGCTCCGCGGAGGCGCTGTTCTCAGGCGTTTTGCTCATACTTATGGACCTCTAGCTGCAGCAGCTGCTTATTTATAATAAACACGACACATCACTCTCAATAACAGTTGAAGATTTATTAATATTTTCACAAACATACAAATAGATTAACATACTTTTATACACATAACCATGTTTTACCACGTTTAAAATAAAACCAACAAGTTGTACTATAACCATGGCTGAACTACTGTGCAATAAAGATTTTAAATACAAAGTCCATTGCAGCATTTACATTAAGACCATAGGAATATTTACAAGTACTTCAAAACATGTACACTAAGGGTGACTATAGTTTACTATAGTAAAAACACAAATAACTTGTGTAAGCACATGTTATAATGCTTATAATTTCTTAAATAGTGTTGAAGAAAATGCATGTTTCCAAGACTATAATCTTAAAATACAAGATAATTCCAGTCATGTGTTCAGTATCCAAAAGACTTTCTTCAGGGAGTTACAATAATAAAAGAGTACACAAACACAAAATAAATACCAAGCAAACAATATTTACAGTAGTAAATAAAATCATACAAATAAAAATAATTGTCTGATAAAATCTTATTAAAGTCTGTAGTCAGACATTTTTTTTATAAATGGCATTCAACAATTTGCAATCTCCTCTGAACTAATAACACATCAATAATATAAAATAACAATACTTTCTCAGAGATAACCAGTTTTTTTAAGCAAACTCTAATGCACGACACAAAACAGATTTTGTCATTATATATATATATATATATATATATATATATATATATATATATATATATATATATATATATATAATCTTTTAATTTCTGTTTAACGGAAATATTTTTTAACACATTTTTGATCACAATAGTTTTAATAACTCATTTCTAATAACTGAGTAAATAATATTTGACTAGATATTCTTCAAGACACATCTATACAGCTTAAAGTGACATTTAAAGGCTTAACTAGGTTAATTAGCTTAACTAGGCTGGTTAGGGTAATTAGGCAAGTTATTGTATAACGATGGTTTGTTCTATAGACAGTCGAAAAAAATTGCTTAAAGGGGCTAATAATATTGACCTTAAAATGTTTTTTAAAAAATTCAAAACTGTTTTTATTCTAGCCGAAATAAAAGAAATAAGACTTTTCCCAGAAGAAAACATAACATTTTCTTGCTCTGACCTATATATATATATATATATATATATATATATATATATATATATATATATATATATATGTTTTTTTTTTTTTTAATTTTTTTTAATTAATTTATTTATTTATATATATATATATATATATATATATATATATATATATATATATATATATATATATATATATATATATATATATTTAAAACTGGTTGTAAATTGTGTACAATGTTCCTAAGAAATAACCTGTCATTTAGTTTTGTTTTATCTTGTGGAATGTTGCTGACACATAAAAGGGGATATATAGGTGGAATAAAAAGTGTGTCGTCATCCTCTAAATTGTTCTTGTATGTTGTCTTCATCTTTAGTCTTCACAAGTGAGGCTGGCCCAAACCGGGACTGCAGTAGCCAAATCTAGTCCTTGTAGTGGGAACCCTTAAATAAAGCAAGAAACCAAAAGGAGAAAGATTAGCATTGCAGCAGTTCATATTACCACAAATATATATTATTTGTTTCATGACATATAACTGGAGTATGCGTTATGCAAGTGCCTAGCTAAAATAATTAATTTAATTTAATCTTAAAGAGTGTGTCTGAGCACAAATTTTCAGAAAAGCCATTTGAAAGTTAAATTCCTTGTGAAATCATAATGAATGTTTTTTTTTTGTTTTTAGAATCATTGTGTTAGTATAAATGTGTATCTAAATATATGTCTAATCTTCAGATACCACATTACATGCAAATTAAACTAAGTTTCGTCAACTAAAATGTCACACTGTACACCACATTTAATATATCATAGCTAGGGCCAGGAGGAATCTGCGGATGTTTTTTGCTATTTCTGCTGAAAATTTTGGTGGAAGTCTGTGGATTTCTGCGGAATTATTTTGGGAGTATCATAACTAAAACCTTAATATATGAAATATAAAAATACTATATTTTAAGTTTTCTTTAATGTTTAAAATGCAAATCCAATTAGATTCACTTTATTTGGTAAATAAAGCAAGTTTTTCATATAACATATCTATTAAGACAGAAAATATTACTGTACAAACCTCATTGTACATAAATCAGACGAACATTTTCACATTAGTCAATAATATTACTGAAATTAATTAAAAAACTGAATAAATATAGATTTACACACATTTACTCAAGTAAATAAACAGAAATAATGAACAAACATCTGAACAAACATCTGCGGAGTTCTGCGAAAAATCTGGGTCGGCCTAATCATAGCTTTATTTCTGCTACAACAACAATTATATGTAGGCTATAGAGGAGGATATATAAAGAAATTATATATTCAACTCTCTAATTAAATGCACCTGATGCAGCTAATCGAGTCTTTTAGGCTTATTTGAAAACTTAAATGACGTGTTGGACCACAGTTGGACAACGCTCAGTGAGAATACTTTTTTGCACAAATTCTTTTTGTTTTAAAGAAACATGTCTGATTGTTAGCAATCATCAAAGAGCAAACTTTTTTGTTTTTCAAATAAATACTATGCTCTTAAAAATAAACTTTTCATACATCAAGAATACTATTTAAAATGTTTTATATTTAAAAAAAACAGCTAGAGGACAGAATCAGTACATTGGAATACTATTTTTTCAGAAGGATCATGTGACACTATTAATTATATACATTGTATTAAATTCACAGTATTACTGCTTGACTGTATTAAATAAATAAAGCTGACACTATCAGAAGAGAATTTACCATACCAACCTAAAAGCTATGAAACAGTAGTGTATGTTTAAGATGTTACTTACTAGTCCTGTTGTACTTTGGAGAGGTTGTCTGACAGGAGGATCCCTTCAACTCAGCAGAATTCTCAGCAGACCATCAGCGTACACCAATCTAAGAATAAAATAAGCAATTTGTTAAAAACCAAAAATATATGTATTTTATATTTCCAGGTTTATAGGAAAGAAGAAAGCTAAAGCAGATTTAAAATGTAGAAAAAAAAACCTATTGACAATTTAATGTCACAACATACCCCAATCTAAGCAGCACGCTCAAATGATTAATTTACATAAACGACAACTGCTTCTCATTATACCAATTTTAACTGTTATGGATTCATTCATTCATTTTCTTTTGGGCTTAGTCCCTTTATTAATCTGGGGTCGCCACAGCGGAATGAAAGGCCAACTTATCCAGCAAATGTTTTACGCAGCGGATGCCCTTCCAGCTGCAACCAATACACACTCATTCACACACACTTATACACTATGGTCAATTTTTGCATACCCAATTCACCCATGTCTTTGGACTTGGGAAAACCGGAGCACCCGGAGGAAACCCATGCCAACACAGGGAGAGCATGCAAACTTTACACAGAAACACCAACTGACCCAGCCAAAGCTTGAAGCAGCGACCTTCTTGCTGTGAGGCAAACGTGCTACCCTCTGCGCCACCGTGCTGCCCTGTTAAGGAATCAGATTAATATAAATGAATTGACATGTTTATTTAGTGTCTGACACATTAAATATTGCATTTTTAAATATTGTTTCATTTTAAGATTTATTTCAGAATTAACTATAGAACCGGATATATCGTCACATTTTCATGCACAGCAGCATTTCCAAGAACATAGAAAAACAGAATATAGGCCAACTGAAAAAAAATTTAAATAAATAAACTCTGACTGAATGCTTTAAGTAACTGGCTAGGAATGGGCAGGTATAAGATTCTGAGGGTATAATCTTGGATAAAAATATCACAGTTTCACAGTATTGTGATTACTGCTCTGAAATGTGTTTTTTTTATCTCTGTGTAAAAAACATCTACTTTTCCCCCATTGAACACAATATGTTTTATTTTAAGAAACATTTAAAATATTTTGTAACAGTAAACATGCCAGGCTAAATAATAATTTAATAAAATAGTACTATCTTCATTAGACTCAAAAACACTGATTTCTTGTGAAGGCATAATAAGCTATTTGTTTTTCAGATGTTTGCTGAATCGTGAGCTGACCAGTAGCTTTTGATGTGGAGGGTCTTTTGCTGCTGTAAATAATGTTGGACTATTTTTTTAAGTCTTTGATAACGCGCTAAAAACCATATACAATGCATCCGGAAAGTATTGATAGCGCTTCACTTTTTCCACATTTTTAATGTTTCAGTCTTATTTCAAAATGGATTAAATTCATTAATTTCCTCAAAATTCTACACACAATCCCCATAATGTGTGTTGACCCGATTTTAGTTAATCATTTACAAGTCAATATTGCCTATATGGATTGTGATTTTAACATGTAAAATTGCATTGTTAAATGCAATGCCATCAAACATTTTAGACGCACCAGTGCAAAAAGCTAGTCTAGAGCACTTGGAATGCTGGTGTAGTTCTAGTTAAATTCAGTTCAGTTAAAGCTGTATATGCAACAGGTCTCAAGTATAGGATTTAGTATTTAACTAATCTTAACAACTAAACATTTACGAGTCTGTATTAGCCAGCTCATGTACTACAATGTAACAGATGCTATATATTGCCACCTTGATACTTAAGCTTTCTTTAAAATATTTTGTGTTCAACCGATTAATTAATTCTTTCATTTAATTTTTTCAGTGTAATAGTATAGCTTACACTGGTGTATTTGTATGGACCCCCCAAAATAGCGGAGGCCACTTTCTGGCCACCCAAGTATAAACTTCTAGCCTAGCCACTGTGAACTACCTGTCTGTCCTGCTCCAGAACTCTTTGTCGGCTGCTTGTATGTCTGGATACAGCTGCACAAGTCTTTTAACACTGACAAATACAGCCTCTGCACATCCTCACAACCAGGAGAACAGAATGATCAGGAGGACCTGAAAAATATAACCAACTGAAATCAGTTGAAATGTATTTTGTCTTGTGATGATGACACAAAAATAAATTATTTTTCACAAAGGATGTGCTGTTACCTATGAAACGGTCTATAATGAAGTATCTTTTGATCCTGTTTCCTTGATGTCATTCAGTCAGAGATGGTTTGGACATTTGATTGTATCTAAACTGTAATGAATTTAAGTTACAAAAACATTGATAGCAGGACCATTGATCTTGTAACTTATACAAATTGTTAAGTATTGAACAAGTCTGCAACCAAACTAGTCAAGTTAATAATACTAATCTCAACTCAACTATGATTAGTTGTCTTGTTTCTGCTGCCCAGACGGTCAAACCTGCTTATAAAAAAAGGAAAAAGTATGGTATTTTTACAACAATGAAACTGCAAACAACTTAACTATAAGGGGGTAAGCAGTGAGCATCTTTTATTATAAGCAATTTACTGAATACTTTGTCACTGGTATTACCTAAAAACCAAACGTCCCAAGTTTGGCTCATAGCTGTCCACACATCTGCCCAGTAGCTTGTGGTAATACTGAAGACACTGATCAGCTGGTCCAACTGAGTTTGGAGTTGAACTGCAATCAGGCATCCAATACTGCAAAGAAAGAGAAACTCACTTTGGGTTAACAAATAATGTAATCCCACACATTTCAAGTAATTGTGCAGTTAATTCTCTTAAAATGAATGAATGAATTCTCTTATTGAATTTTCTGAGAGCTTATGAATATATTTTGTCTTCCCAAAATAGCATGTACTGAAACACAAAATTATATAAATATAATTTAATAAGAGCGTGACGTGGTGGCACAATAGGTAGTGCTGTCGCCTTACAGCAAGGATGCTGACTCGAGCCGCAGCTGGATCAGCAGGCATTTCTGTGTGTAGTTTGCAAATTCTCTCTGCGTTTGGTGGGTTTTCTCTGGGTGCTCCGGTTTTGCCTACAAGTCCGAAGACATGGGGTACAGGTGAATTGGGTAGGCTAAATTGTCTGTAGTGTATGAGTGAGAACAAGCGTATATGGTTGTTTCCCAGTGATGGCTTGCAGCTGGAAGGGCATCCACTGCGTAAAACATATGCTGGATAAGTTGACAGTTCATTCCGCTGTGGTTACCCCAGATTAATAAAGGGACTAAGCAGAAAAGAAAATGAATGAATGTATGAATGAATGAATGAATGAATGAATGAATTTAATAAGAGTTAAACTGATCTGTTAACATGTCTGTCATGAGCTGATCTACCTGTTGTCAAACTGATGAAAATGTTTTCTCAATTTACTTTAACATTTTTGTGTTTGTTTATGTTTTTATAACTTGCAGCCATTGTTAAATTTAAAAGTATTTTAAACATGCATGGACATCTAAATGCATATAGGGCACATATCTCAAAACATTTTGAAATATTTCCAGATAAATCAATTTTGAATTAAAATGTATATTAATCTCCAGACTTGCATCTCCCTGATCTTTTTAAAAGAACGGCCCCTCGTTTGCTCATCACTGTTTGACAAGTGTCTGGCAGTCAGTCAAAAATATACTTACATATAAAGATGTTCATCAGCAACACGGCACTTAGGTTAAACTTAGACCTCCTTTTCAGTTGATGTGGAAAACAAAAGCAAAAGAAAGAAAAAACAAAACGACTGAATACAAGTTGCATATCATGCCTGTACAAATCAAAAATTATTCATTTAGGGCTTAAATTGACTTAAGGATGAGTTAAGGTGTAAGGGATGGGTGAACAGTGTAAATATACATGTAATTCATAGCTATGATGTAAAGCTAAATTTTCAGCATCATTACTCAAGTCTTCAGTGTCACTTGATCTTTCAGAAATCTTTTTTTAAGATGTTGATTTAGTGCTTGAGGTTGAACTAATATAATGGTGATTATCAAATGGTGCTGATTTGCTGCTCAAGAAACATTTCGGATTGCTATCAATGCTAAAAACAGATGTGATGACAAATAATTTAGTGTAAACTTTTTTCTAAGATTTAATAAATCAATTAATCATAAAAAATTAAACAAAATGAAAATCACAAATATTACTTCATTAGCAGCAAATCTGCATATTTACTAAGTTCTGAAGAATCATGTGATGTGAAATTTAATACCACTAACATGTTTCAATGTCAAAACTATCTTAAAATAACTGCAATAAAGACAAGTAACAGATGCATAATATATAGACATGTAACATGTGCATTATGATGTGCAATGGAAATTCATATGAATTAATCCTCTGCTTAAAGTTACCTGTCTTTTCTGCATCTCTGTGATCAGCTCCCTTCAGAAATTTAGGAATCTTGTGTTATATTTTCTGTAGCAGGGGGTTATTCTCTCACTCCTGAAACCACAGAACACTTTTTTACTTAACATTTGTTTAAGATACCATGAAATATCAAAACACGATTGAACTTTTGATTCACGTTCCTTTACAGTAACGTAACAATGCGTATTTTAGACTACATATTAAGTGCATTCAATAAAACATTGACAAAACCTTTCATCTACACATAAAGAATAAATAAAAGCCAAAACTTTAACAAACAAGTTTAACAAGAGCTAACATTAAGTAAGTTAACGTAATATTACCCCGACGCTAACGTTACCAGTGCTAATATGCTAACGGACTTTTACGAAGACTTACCACTCTTATATAACATAATATTCAACTGAATATTCATCAATTGCCAATAATAAAAGTGTGAGGAACAGTTTTATGTAGTATTTGCTTTGTTTTAGGGACTAAACTTACCTGAAAACTGTCAAAACGGCAGCTTGAGAGAAGTCGTGTTGTGTCTTTCAGGTGGTGTCGTGTCGTGTTGTAGCTTCGTTTCCCATAGCAACATCCCCTCCGCTCCAGTGTTGGAATGAGACGCGCGCGCGCACATCAAAGTCATGCAGTATTACATTTATAAACATGATCACTCCATAGACTATTTAAATAATAACCTTGTATTTTATATATTGAATTAAAAA